CTGCAATTTCAGATTTTAGATTCACCCCTCTCCCTCTTCCTTCTTGTTCCTTCTGCTTCTTTTCGATTTTCAGTTGGGCCTCTCTGCGTATATATGAGAGAGCGGGTATTCATTGGGATTTTAAAACATTGTTTTGGATAAATATGTCTTTTGGTATTCAATTAACATTTTTAAATTGTGGTATTCTATTAAAATTATTAGAATTTTTAAAAGAGAGTGACCAAATCTAGTGGTATTCAATCAAGATTTTAAACGAGTAATAAAAAGTCTTATAGTATTTAAAATTTTGCTAATTTCAAAGGACTTTTTTAAATGCGAAATTGTATAAAAAAATATTTAGTGGGAAGTATAAATACCAAATCCTATCACAGAGAGAAGTACTATGGTATCTTGTTTGAATGGAGAGAAGCTACATATTGAAGGTTGCAATCAGACCCTATATATCCTGCAAAATAATGAAAGCTAAATAGGGAAAATGTGGAAAATTCATTTGGTCCTCTTGTTTATATGAAAAAATTCATTTGGTCCATTCAAATCTTATAAATTCTATGATATGATTTTTTAAAATTTATAATTAAAAAAATTTTATTTATAAAAATCCATAAATAAAATCCTGTAAGTTACTACATTTTGCTTAAACTCACTAGACTTTATCCCTAAATTGTCTTTTAAGGGTCGTTTGGTACGGCGCACTGTTATGGACTGGACTAAGTCCTGGGACTGTCTTGGATTAGTTCGGATTGGCCTAAGTTGGATTAAGTATTGACCTACGTTTGGTATTTTGTCGGACTAAGAAGCTGGATTGTAAAAATAGTGAAGACCTATGTTTGGTGTTGTGTCGATGGAGACCCAAAAAAAAAAAAAAAGGACAAGACATTGATTCCCACCAATTTCAATGACATACATCTACCAAAAATTTGTAAATGTCATATTTGAAATCCGTACATAAATCTCTCAATCAAAATAATAAGCATATTCTCTCCCCAATACTTGTGAATTTTTTTAAACAATAATGGGCTAGTTTCCTCAGCGGCTATTGTCCCACTTATTCAAAATTGTGAGGACTTTCCTTTTGAGTGGTAACAAAGGGCAAAATTGTATTGAATCACTTCTTGCGCAAGTACAAGAAGCCAACGACCACAGAGATGCCAACAACGGCCACAGGAACAGCCCAGTATTGCTTCGTCGAGTCCTTGATCTTCTGAGGATAATCACTGCAACCAACTCAATAAATAAGCAAATCTAAAGGGAAAAGATCAAAATTTGTAAATGAAATATAATAAAGATAATCAGTCAAAACACTAAACAACTAGCAAATCTAGGCAAATTACTGTTGATCAACATCTACTTTACTGGGGCACATACTTTTCCATTAAGCTCATCCCAAGCTTCTACCCAAGTAACCATGGCATCTGCCAGCTTAAGGAAGTATGGGTCAATCCTGCCAAGCTCAGCCTTGAATAGCTTAGAGAGTTCGATGTAGCATTTCTGAACAGTAGTGCATGCTTTTGTAAGGACTGCAGATTGGAAGAAGGGGATCAGCTCTTCTTGCCAGAAGATACCATAGTACTCCTCTCTGACGTTAACAAATGGAATGATGGGATCACTGGCTTTGCTGTGCCATATGTAGGGCAGACCAGTCTTGACACCATATCCCAAATGGTCGCATATAACCTAAAAGCATGTCGACATGATTTAAGTTTCGTCCTCATGGTGATCAAAATGTTCAAAGCAAATTGACAATCAATAAATCCAAATACAGAAACCATCAAGAAAGTAGAAGGTAATCATCACAAACAAGAGAAACTATATTTCTGAAGTTATCATCTCAAAGTCTGTAACTTATGACAAGGATGTTGGCATATCCTGCCAAATTATCTTAATAATCAAAACCCCAAGTTGATGTGACCCTAGAAACAACTTTCTAATTCAATCTTATGATCCAAACATCTCTATGGAGACACCTTGGTGATAAATCCACCTAGAAAAAGAAATTTAAATATAAAAAACAGAAAACCACCAAGGAAGAGTTGTTTATTTCATATAGAATAGACCTAACAAGCTCTCAGTAGACATAAACAGGGAATAAAAATGAAGCAATTCAAATTACCTTCATGCACCAGCCAGCCCACATATCACCATATCTTCCAATTGGCTCATCAATACCCATGAGTCCAAAGTACATTGCTGGTCCAATCAGTTCACGGTTGAATGCCAAGTTCATACCACACATAGGAAATAGAGTTCCCCCGGGTATGGTCAGAACTACATCAACAAACCTGAAAAAATTTAAGAAGAAATGAACAGGCAATTATGTAAAAACTGGCTTTTCAGTAGTAATTAGTCCAGTTTAAAAGGAAAAGAAAAGGGAAAAAGAAGCATACAATCAATAATTTGTGTAATTTGGGATCGCTATTTTATACCTAGTGTTCCTTTCTAGAGGATTGGCAAGCTGGGTAGAGCATCATAGTCAGGGATGTTGAGCCAGAGGCCATGAGAAACAGCTGTAGGTACACCCCCATGGAGACTAAAAGGATATCCACGGAATAAGTCTGCGTCTTCTCTGTATGGATCATAAAGAGTGTTGAAAAATAGAGGAGTTGATGGATTTAGCAGATTCTTTATATGTTGTTCGAGTGCATTGATCTCTTTCCCAGATGGGTCTTTGGCAACCTGTATAAAAAGATACAGATATGCACATATGAGATTCTGAAAACAACAGATTAATAGAAATTGGGCAATTGTGACAAAACCAGATAAAAGACAATACGCTTACAACAGATTATTATATGATGCAAATGCCACAACCCCAATAAAAAAACCCCTCACAATTTGATCACCCAAAACGCAAAATTTGTCAAAAGTGTTAAACAACAAACCAATTGAACCCAAAACATTCAACAAGTCCAAGCAATTACACAGAAAGAGCGAAAGAGAGGGAGCTTACAAATTAATCGTCGTCAATGGTAAAGATTTACTTCTTCTTAGAGACCAAGTAGCCAAAGCAGCGGCAAGCAGAGTTCATGAAGGAAATGCAAGAGGCCCTGGAACCCAGAATGCGGTTGATGTCGTTTCGGTTGAAGAGCTCATAGTCGAAGCCATCTGGGACCTTGATGGTCCTCGACGACGGATCACCTCCCTGGACAATGATCAGGTGGTAGGGCTCGAAGAACGGCCTCCACGTCTCCAAGAAGTCCAGGTTCTTCGGGATCACGATTTCAAGCTCGTCCTTCAGGATAAAAGTAGGCTTGACGTCGACCAAAGCTCCTGCCATTGCTGTTGAAATGCAGAGAGAACGTACAGTTTCAGAGAGAAGCTCAGCAAACGCAAAAAGACAGTGAGAAAGTGGAGTTTGTCTTTGACTCTTGTTATATCCGTTGCAATTGGAGGACAAAATGAGAATGGCGGAAATTCTTAGGTACTTGCAAGCCCCAAGTACATAGGGCAATTTCAGAATTTAAAATTGAAATTGAAGTAAAAATAAATCAAGCTGTTAAGGGCAATTGAAGGTAACCAGTTACAACCCAATTGATCTTAATGGATATCCACGAACAAAGTCTGCGCCTTCTCTGTATGGATCATAGTCAGGGATGTTGAGCCAGATGCCATGAGAAACAGCTGTAGGTACACCCCCATGGAGACTAAAAGGATATCCACGGAATAAGTCTGCGTCTTCTCTGTATGGATCATAAAGAGTGTTGAAAAATAGAGGAGTTGATGGATTTAGCAGATTCTTTATATGTTGTTCGAGTGCATTGATCTCTTTCCCAGATGGGCCTCTGGCAACCTGCATAAAGGATACAGATGTGAACACATATGAGATTATGAAAATTTCAATAATAACAGCAAGAATCACATATAATATTCATAACAACATATATATCAGACACTTGTTTTGAAAGAAGATAAAACCCATATCAAACACAGTATGCTTAACAATATGCTAAACAACAGATTATTATGCTCCAAATACAACAATCCCAATAAAAATCTCTCAGAGTTTTATCACCCAAAACCCAAAAATTGACAAAAGTGTTAAACAACAAACCCATTATTAACCCAGAACTCCATATCCTAAAAAACTTCAAGATCCGACCAATTGAACCCAAAACATTCAACAAGTCCAAGCAATCACACAGAAAGAGAAGGAGAGGGAGCTTACAAATTAATCGTCGTCAATGGTAAAGATGTACTTCTTCTTAGAGACCAAGTAGCCAAAGCAGCGGCAAGCAGAGTCCTTGACGGAAATGCAAGAGGCCTTGGGACCCAGAATGCGGTTAATATCGTTTCGATTGTAGAGCTCATAGTCGAAGCCATCTGGGACCTTGATGGTCCTCGACGGGTCACCGTCCTGGACTATGATCAGATGGTAGGGCTCGAAGAACGGCCTCCACATCTCCAAGGAGTCCAGTTTTCGAATCTTCGGGATCACGATGTCAAGCTCCTCCCTCAAGATCGGCGTAGGCTTGACATCGTGATCCAAATGGCACCTGCAAATTTTAATGAACAAGTTGACTATCACAACCATTACCATTCATTTGGCAATTGAGCTGAAGGAAGTGAAATTAATAATTGTATTCTGGTTTTCTTCATTGCTTTGATCTTAAAATCCATGAAGAAAACTCTACAATTATCCAAACCCAGAAAAGATTCCTCATTTTTCCATTTCCGCTCATTTGGGATTTCCATTTGAATTAAGCGGGAGAGGAAATAATAGGATGAGAACTTTGCAGGCGTGCAACCAAACGGCGCCGTATCGTTCCTACTAATTAGGCCTTGAGCATCGTTGGACCATTTTATTTTAGTTCTCTAACTTGTCCTATTGCTTCTAGTCAATGTTTAAATATTTGTTTAACGTTGGATTGCAATTGATTTTTGAATCGTTTTAAGGAACTGTATCTAACTTAAAGCCTCTTCTAATACACATAATAAACACATGGAATGGAAACCATGAAAAACAAACACCTCACACACCCAAAAACCCCTTCAAGAGTTCTATAGAAGGATAACTCATCATCTATCTCATTAAGAATCAGGTATTTGTTTCGTTAGCAAAGTTTTACAAGGGAGCTTGACAAATTACAAGGATTTGATGGAAACAAAAGCATTTTCCTCTCATAATTTTCACTTGGGGAGCAGTGGAACTAGTCATTTTGTTTCAAAATTTCTACTTCAGCCCTTGCCATGGGGTCATCCTTCATCTCGCTTTCTGTCTTCTTTTTCCTGTGTAACTCTTCCGCAGCCTGGCAGCCCAGTTCTCGGCCTGAATACGCTACATTTCCTCTTCTTGTTGCTGCCTCTCAAACCATGTGTCTGCATCTGCCCAGACTGTAATGGAACAAGGAAAGAAGTTATTACACATCCATTAAATTTCAAGCTCGATGCAAATGCAGTTTACCTTCAAAGAATGAAGGATTTAAGTAATTCTAGTTTAGTGCAAGACCAAAGTGAAGTTTTGCTCAAAGGTGGTCTGGCTTCATCTTCAAAGATGTTATTCAATTATTTCAAATTCAATCTTATCTATCTTTTTCTATCAACCTTACCTATACACTTAGGAGTTGCATTCTTCTGTTGCTAAATTTTCATAACTTCAACCAACCAAAGCTACTTCTAGCACATTAATGTACAAATTTCCTTTACGAACCAAACCAATAATACTAGGAAATTTCCAAAGTTTATCTATGACTCTAAGAAGGAACCTAAGCCTATTTGAAAGCATACCCAGATTTAATCCTAAAACCCTAAACCCCAAAAGTCCAAACCAAGATCGAAAAAACCCATACCCACTTAAAACAAGAACAAACAGAGCACCAATAACAAACCCTAACCAAAATTCACACCAATACTACAAAATCAAACACCCCAATTAATCAATAAACCAAACCCATCTAAACAAATTAAGCTAACAATCAAATCCACACACGCACAAAACAAATAAGAAATTTAATAATAATAATAATAATAATAATGTAAAGAGAGGAGGTGGAGTAAATGGGGAAAAAGGACGTACTGGGCTTTGTCAAGTCCTTGATCTTCTGAAGATAATCAACTGGTTGATTCTTAGAGGTTATATCAAGTTCCGGGATAGCTGAGGAAGTGGTGTCAAGCTCCCTTGCAGTATTGCTATGCCCAGCATCTTCAAAATCTTCAGTGGCATCTCTTCCTTTAATGAAATTAAATCAACAAGTCATATCAAGATTTTGTATTTGTACTACATTGTTGTTTTAGAAGGTTATCTGAAACAAATTCTTCACAGTGCAGTCAAATAAATCGGGATATTATCCAAAAAGGAATCTTAAAACTATACCAGTTGCAGCAAGGACTACTTCGTCTCCACCAGGGTGATTGTCCAAGTATGATGACACAGCGTACACCTGGGATTAACAAATGCACTAAAATGTAAATATGGGAGAGGAGAGATTTCAATTATTCTTTCTTGTGGTATATGATATAATGTGCAACCATGATCAGACTAATAAGGTCTATGACAACTTCTAGTTATCCATAGTGAAATCAAACAAGTAATGAAAAAGTAAAGTCAAAAGTCATTGTATACACAATCAAACTGATCCCTTGAAAACAGATTTCACATTGGGAAATCTAGACATTATTCGGATGATAAGAAAACCTCCGATATTGATTGACTATCATCATTCTGAGGATCAGCATATATTCCAAAATTTGGATAGTTAAGAGAGCAAAGACACCAAGATACTGACCAAATTCCCAGAGAGAAGCCACATGGAAATTTATAAATACCAAAGCACAGTAAGCCAGCAACAAGTGGATATTTATGCGTATCAAAGATGTGAACAACAGCCAGTTACAACATTAATAGAACACAACAAGCATAATAATCTATATGCTTATAGTATGAGGACTATTCATATGCAATCTAAATATGTTCATGAAAGCTGTTAAGAAACTTGCAAGATAGAAAAACCAACACACATACAGATCAACCCCGATGACAATCTACCCAGATTATATAAGTAGATGACAATCAATATTTAGTTTAGGAGGAAAATTCTCATCCCAACCATCTTCCATTAGAATTTCAAAGTCAGTATGCTTCAATCCAAATGCAACAACTATCAGAATATTAGGATAGGTGTACTAGCACTGCAACCATCTCAATCAATAAGCAAATCTAAACAAAGAATTTATAAATGATAATCAGTCAAAACACTAAACAACTAGCAAATCTGAAGTCATCTAAGGCAAATTACTGTTGATCAACATCTACTTTACTGGGGCATATACTTTTCCGTTAAGCTCATCCCAAGCTTCTATCCAAGTAACCATGGCATCTGCCAGCTTAAGGAAGTATGGGTCAATCTTGCCAAGCTTAGCCTTGACTTGCTTTGACAGTTCGATGTAGCATTTCTGAACAGTAGTGCATTCTTTTGTAAGGACCGCAGATTGGAAGAAGGGGATCAGCTCTTCTTGCCAGAATATACCTTTGTACTCCTTTTTTAGGCTAACAAATGGATTGCTGGCTTTGTTGTGCCATATGTAGGGAAGACCAGTCTTGACGCCATATCCCAAATGGTCGCATATAACCTACAGGCATATCGATGCGATTTAAGTTTCATCCTCATGATGATCAAAATGTTCGAAGTAAATTGACAATCAATAAATCCAAATACAGAAATCATCAAGAAAGTAGAAGGTAATCATCACAAGCTTAAACTATATTTCTGAGGTTACCATCTCAAAGTCTGTAGGTTGTGACAGGGATGTTGGCATATCCTGCCAAATTATCTTAATAATCAAAACCCAAGTTGATGTGAGCCTAGAAACAACTTTCTCATTTAATCTTATGATTCAAACATCTCTATGGAGACACCTTGGTTATAAATCCACCTAGAAAAAGAAATTTAAATATAAAAAGTAGAAAACCACCAAGGAAGAGTTGCTTATTTGATATAGAATAGACCTAAACAGGGTGTAAAATAAAGAAGTAATTCAAGTTACCTTCATGCACCAGCCAGCCCACATATCACCATATCTTCCAATTGGCTGACCATTGCCCATGAGTCCAAAGTACATTGCTGGTCCAATCAGTTCACGGTTGAATGCCAAGTTCATACCACACATAGGAAATAGAGTTATCTTGGGTATGGTCAGAACTGCATCAACAAACCTGAAAATATTTAAGAAGAAATGAAGAGGCAATTAGTCCAGTTTAAAAGAAAAAGAAAAGGGAAAAAGAAGGATACACTCAATAATTTGGGATCACTATTTTATACCTAGTGTTCCTTTCTAGAGGATTGGCAAGCTGGGTGGGAGCATCACAGTCAGGGATGTTGAGCCAGAGGCCATGAGAAACAGCTGTAGGTACACCCCGACGGAGACTAAAAGGATATCCATGGAATAAGTCTGCGCCTTCTCTGTATGGATCATAAAGAGTGTTGAAATATAGAGGAGTTGATGGATTTAGCAGATTCTTTATATGTTGTTTGAGTGCATTGATCTCTTTCCCAGATGGGTCTTTGGCAACCTGTATAAAAAAAGATACAGATATGAGCACATATGAGATTACGAAAACAACAGATTAATAGAAATTGGGCAATTGTGACAAACCCAGATCAAAGACAATATGCTTACAACAGATTATTATATGATGCAAACGCCACAACCCCAATAATAATAAAAACCCCTCACAGTTTGATCACCCAATACGCAAAAATTGTCAAAAGTGTTAAACAACAAACCAATTGAACCCAGAACATTCAACAAGTCCAAGCAATTGCACAGAGAGAGAGAGAGAGAGAGAGAGAGCTTACAAAGCAATCTTCGTCAATGGTAAAGATGTACTTCTTCTTAGAGACCAAGTAGCCAAAGCAGCGACAAGCAGAGTCCTTGAACGAAATGCAAGAGGCCTTGGGACCCAGAATGCGGTTGATGTCGTTTCGATTGTAGAGCTCACAGTCGAAGCCATCTGGGACCTTGATGGTCCTCGACGGGTCACCGTCCTGGACTATGATCAGGTGGTAGGGCTCGAAGTACGGCCTCCACCTCTCCAAGAAGTCCAGGTTTCGAATTGCGGGGATCACAATGTCAAGCTCGGCCTTCAGGATTGGCGTAGGCTTGACGTCGACCAAAGCTCCTGCCATTGCTGTTGAAACGCAGAGAGAGCCTACAGTTTCAGAGAGAAGCTCAGCAAAAGCAAAAAGACACTGATAATTGAGAAACGGAGGAATTGGATTTGACTTCACCAAGAAAGTGGAGTTTGTCTTTGACTCTTGTTATATCCGTTGCAATTGGAGGACAAAATGCGGAAATTCTTAGGTACTTGCATGCACCAAGTACATAGGGCAATTTCAAATTTTAAAATTGAAATTAAAGTAAAAACAAATCAATCTGTTAAGGGCAATTGAAGGTAACCAGTTACAACCCAATTGGTCTTAAAGGATATCCATGAACAAAGTCTGCGCCTTCTCTGTATGGATAATAAAGAGTGTTGAAAAATAGAGGAGTTGATGGATTTAGCAGGTTCTTATATTTTGTTCGAGTGCATTGATCTCTTTCCCAGATGGGTCTTTGGCAACCTGCATAAAGGATACACATATGAAAACATATGAGATTATGAAAATTTCAATAATAACAGCAAGAATCACATATAATATTCTTAACAACATATATATCAGACACTTGTTTTGAAATAAGACAAAACCCAGATCAAACACAATATGCTAAACAAGAGATGATTATATGCTCCAAATACAACAATCCCAATAAAAAAATCCCTCACAGTTTTATCACCCAAAACCCAAAAATGACAAGTATTAACAACAAAAAACTTCAAGATCGGACCAATTGAACCCGAAACATTGAACAAGTCCAAGCAATCACACAGATAGAGAAAGAGAGGGAGCTTACAAAGCAATCGTCGTCCATGGTAAAGATGTACTTCTTCTTAGAGACCAAGTAGCCAAAGCGGCGGCAAGCAGAGTCCTTTAAGGAAATGCAAGAGGCCTTGGGACCCAGAATGCGGTTGATGTCGTTCCAATTGTAGAGCTCATAGTCGAAGCCATCTGGGACCTTGATGGTTCTCGACGGGTCACCGTCCTGGACTATGATCAGGTGGTAGGGCTCGAAGTACGGCCTCCACATCTCCAAGAAGTCCAGGTTTCGAATCGTCGGGATCACAATATCAAGCTCATCCTTCAAGATCGGCGTAGGATTGACATCGATCAAAGCTCCTGCCATTGCTGCTCAAAATGCAGAGAGAACCTTACAGTGGTACTGAGAATTGAGAAACGGAGGAATTGGGTTCGTTTTGTCTTTGACTCTTCGATTGTAAGGCCCGTTTGGGATTGCTTTTTTTCGCCAAAAACCTGCTTCACTTTAAAGTTAAGCAGTTTAAAGTGTTTTGTAAAAAGAAAATATCCCGATTATTTTAAAAGCAATGGCCTTTTGACAGCAACTTTTAAAAGCAGGCTCTGGGTTGCTTTTCAAAGCTGCTTTCAAAAGAAGCAGAGATGAACATTTAATGAATTTTTTTAATTCCCAAAATACCATCATTCATTTTAAAAAATGAC